TGGAACCAGGGATTGAACTCAGGCCCTTATGTTTGCCAGGCAAGTGCTTATTCTACTGAGCCATCTCCCCAGCCCCCAGATGAAAGTTTTTAAAAAGCATTATCAACTGGGTGTGATGGCATATGTGTGTAATCCCAGCAGTCAGGAGGCTGAAGCACAAAGATCTCCAAGAGTTCAAGTCCAGCCTGGGCTACACAGTGAGACCCTGCCCCAAATCCCACCTGCCCACCCAGATTACTTCACAGTACATTGAATCACCAAGTGCAGGAGCAGGGGGACAAGGGCCAGCGAGATAGCTCAATGGACTAAGTGCCTGATTAGGCAAGCACAGGGACTGGGGTTTGATCCCAGGTACCACAAGCCACGCCAGCTCCACCCCCGGGCACACTTAGCCACCGAGACTAGGGCCTGGTGGTACAAGTCTGTAATCCAGGTGCTGGAAAGGCTACAAACAGGATCACTATGAGTCTGAGCTTCAGAGTGAGATCTTGTACAAAACACATTAAAAAAAAAAAAGAAAGAAAGAAAAAGGAAGGGGCATTGGGACAGAAAACATCCAGCCCCTTTGGCCCTGCTGCAGGTGCCACTAGTTTGCACCTTTTGATTGCACCCTGAGCCAGAGACACTTACCTGAGGCCACCCCAACCTCGGCCTCCAGTGACCATGAACAATAATGTAGTCATCACCGTCCTCCCGTCAATCCTAGAGTGATGCAGTACAATCACCAGCTAATGAGAAAAGCAGCCACATCCTGCCTCTGTGACAGCATAGGGGCCAGATCAGCAGGGGACCAGTGTCCTCATCAGACCGGTTCTGTGGAGGGACTGTGGCTGGTGACCACTGGCCAGCTGCCAGTCCTGCTTACATTCCCATCCTGGCTGTCCACGTTAGTCCTGGGGTTCTGTGAGTGACCTCAAACCCTCTCAGTAAAGTCCCTTTCTGTCCCTGAGACGGCTTCTGTGGCTTGGATACAAACCTCTGGGCTCCCTCCCCATGGATACATCACCTGTTCCTTTCCGTTTCAGCTCAGATGCGGCTGTGTCCCAGAAGCCCACACAATTCCCGGACTGCGTCAGGCACCCTCTGCACTCCTGCAGCCCTGGGGCTCCAGTACCCGGGTCCACCTACTTTGGGTCCTTCCCCTCTGGCTTGTGAGCCTTAGGGGGAGCAGTGCCTGCCGCTGTATTACCAGGACTGGGCGCAGGTGGGGGTTCGTTCAGGGTGTGGGCTGTTCTAACCTGAACTGGAGGGAACTTGGGTCCCTCAGGAGGATGACAAGGTGGAGAGATTGTTCCTGAAGTGACTTTAGGCTGCTCCAGGGGAGGAGGGCCAGGAAAGAAGGAAAGAGAGGGGTGAGGGGAGATTGCAGTTAGACAGGCGCCTCATCACAAGGAAATGGGGGGGTCCCTTGGACCAGGGGCAAACTTAGGCATCAGGGCCTCAGAATATCTTTGCCATGATGGGGCAGCGCTGGATACCAGATTCCCCAGGAGCTTGGGCGGCAGGCTGGGCACCCCTATTCCATGTGGGGAGCTGAGTGCAGAAGGGCTGTAGGGCTGGGACTTCCAAGGTGGCCATGTGGCCCTCAGTGCAAGCTGCCCCCTGGCAGCAGTTGCCCTCTTGAATCACGCACTAGAGGGCTGGGGAGATAGTTCAGTGGACTAAGTGCCAGGGACTGGGGTTTGATCCCAGGTACCACATGCTGCGCTGGCCCTGCCCTTGGACACACTGGGCCAGCCACCAAGAGTGGACGTGGCGATGCCCAGTCTGATAAGAGGAGGATCACTATGAGTCCAAACTGTGTAGTGAGACCCTGTGCCAAATACATTAAAAAATAATAAATACAAATCATGCACTAGAAGTCTAATTAGGCTTAGCTCTTTATTTCGGCTTCACAAATCCCCTCCAGCCCCTGAGAGTCCCTTGTAGCAGCAAATCTGGAACCCTGCAATGCAGAACAGAAGGGAATTAGGAAGGGGGCAGGGCTCAGCAGAGAGGGAACGGGGGAGATGCAGGTTGGGTGGGGTGGCTTTACCTGGCTTCAAGCTCTGGGCAGCCATCATGAGTCCCACAGAGGCAGCTGGAGAGGCGTTTCCCTTCAGGAGTTTCTGTAGAGGAGGAATTGGCAGTGGTTGATTTTCTGGGTCCTGTGTTTCCCCTCCACCCATTCTCCTAGACCCAGGAGTCCTAGGCTGGCCTCACAGTCTTTCCACTTACTCTGTGGCCCCCTCCATGGCCTGGGCCCTGGAGCTGGCATTCCACAGGGCTGAGGCCACAGTCCTGATTCTGGGCAAGGGAAGGGGGGCCCGGAGTCGGGGGAGGGCCAGAGGTGCCTAGAAGGGAAGAGATTCAGAAATGCTCTAGGCCAGCTGTTCTAGTGTCATTTCATAAGCCCACACAGGTGTGATGAAGCAATGGGTGGGTGGGGGTGCATATGATAGGTTCTTGTCCCCAATCCAAGTTGCTTTCCCCTTGGTCCTTTGCTTTGAGAAGGATGAAGTTTTGTCCATCTGTCACCCACCATCTACCTACCTACCCGCGTACCCATTCACTCATCCATCACCCATCTACCAACCCATCCATCCAACTATCCATCCAACCAACCATCCATCCATCCATCCATCCATCCATCCATCCATCCATCCATCCATCCATCCATCTATCCACCTGTCCACCGACCTATTCTATCCATTGACCCATTCACCAACCCATCTATTCATCCTCATCCACCCACCCACTTATCTATGTCAGCCACTTACCCATCTATCCATCTACCCACCCCATCCATCTATCCATCCATCCATCCATCCATCCATCCATCCATCCATCCATCCCACAGTCATTTCCAGAGCTCCAGTGCATCACACATGGTTCTAGGCTCTGAGGACACAGCTGTGAATAAAGCAGAAAAATATCCCTTTACTCATGGAGCTGAAGGTCTACTGAGCCAGGCAGTCAAGAACAGGCCTCGGGGGTGTTCTGGTCCTTCTGAGTGCTTGGGGACAGGGACTGCCTCTGGGAGGCAGGGATGATGGGCTGAGGCTGTGAGCAGGAAGTGGAAGGGGCTCAGGAGAGTTGGGGGAGGGGGCGGGGAAGGTCCCACCAAAGCCTGCAGGGGCGGGGCCAGGGCTCTGACTGGAATCCTTCAAGCAGGGGCTTCCAAGGAGGAAAGGGAAAGGGAAGGCCTGTGACGCAGCCTACAGATGCCCGAGCCCTCTGGCGTCCTCAAGGCCTGTGGTGGGGCTTGTCCCACACTTGTCTGGTTCTTCACATGGAGACATGGGGATCATAGAGGTCCCAGAGATGCACCATGGAGGACAATGGGTGTGGGGAGCATTCCTAGTGACAGTCTCAGTGGCACGGAGCAAGAACACAGCTCCACTGTATCCAGTACCCATGAGAGCCCCTGGAATCAGGGACAGACCTCTCGGCCACCCTGCTCACAGGGTACTAAGGCAGCATGGGACCTTGCGCCGTGATCCCGACTCCTGTTGGATCTTCAGCTCCTGAGCCTCAGTGTTCCTGTGTGCTGAGTGGGATCTTAGCTGTACAGACCCCATGGGGTTGTCACACAGGATATGTAAAAAAGCACTGCCAAGACTAGGCAGTAATATGAGGCCTTATCTAAAAAGAACAAAGCAGGCTGTGTGCATGGTGGTGCACACCTATAATCCCAACACTCAGGAGGCTGAGGCAGGAGGGTGGCAAGGTTGAGCCCAGCCTGGTAACTTAGCAAGACCGCATCTCAAAATATAAAAAGGGATGGGGGTGGAGCTCAGGGCAAAGGCCCAGTGCCTTGGGGGGCTTGGGGGGACCAGTAGTGCCAAGCACAGACCAAATGTCACATACACACACTCCCTGCCCTGTGAGGACAGCCACCAACGTGCTGGGAAGTAGCAGTAGCGAGCCTGCTGTCCCTGCTGAGGTGGGTTTTGAAGAAGCCAGAGCAGAAGTCGCTGCCATTTAAGTGTGGCAGGGTCTGGGAGAAGAGGGGAGGGTGTGCGGGGGCTGGGTGGGGGCCTGGCCCAGGCAAAGGTGCGCCCATCCGGGCCGGAGGTGCCGTCAGCCTCCCGCTGGCTGTATCCCCCCATTGTCCTCAGGGAGCCAGCTGAGTGCTCCTAACATTTCCATTTGCTTTTGGCTGCAGGTCACCAGGATCCGTTTTTAGCTTCCTTCGCTGGTCCCCCTGCCCCCACCCCCCTTCCTGCCGGCTCTCTTGTTTGCTGTGGTCCAATAATGTTCCCGGACTTCCTGAGCTGTTGTTTGAGGTCGACTGGGTATTGATTAAAGCTGCTGTACTGGGCTGGAGAGGCTGACAGATCTGCCCCTCCCTGGCTCCCTGGCATGCCCAGAGCGCAGACAATCTAGGGTTGGGGAGAGAGGGACAAGAAAGCACGGCCAGGGTGCACTAGAAAAAAAAAAAAAAAAAGCAGATGGAAAACAATGGTGGTGCGCAGCTGTAATCCTAGCAGTCAGGAGACTGAAG